GCACTTTTGTATGTATGAGAATGCACATTGTCTGTCGAGATTCTACTCTCACCGCATTGTCCATTTCAGTCCTTTTCGTCACATTGCAGTTCCTCGGTTATTACAAACATCACATATCTGTGCATGTAACAATTGGTATCGGAGCTTTGCACGTGAATCAGGACTACCTGATCTGACACGTGTGCGGGGACTAAAGAGCTAGGTAGTCTTTTCCGATTGATTAGGACATACCAGTTACACCCCAAAATCACGATCTTGACCTTACTACCGAAAATCAAAATTTTTTCTCGGATTTTATTTTTCTCGCTAKTCTGTTGTAKGAAAATCGCAATATCSCAACATCTAAAATTTTCATTTTCGKCTTTTTCTGAAAATTCGAAATTTCGTTGTTGAAAATCCGGAATATTTTTCTTTTCGAAAGTTTCGATTTCCTATTGCATTTCCCGATACTTGGAAATTCAGAATATTGTCTTTTCTGAAATTCGTTTTTTTGAAAACGGTACGGGAAATATTTCCCGATACTTAGGAATTCGGAATATTGTCTTTTTTGAAATTCGTGTTTCTGAAAAACGGTACGGGAAAACTCTCCTGCGGTATTATTTTCAAACTGTGAATATCCTTATCGGAATAAATCCGAATATTTGTCATTTCGGTTCGGAATTTTTTTCGCAGTTCGGGGATTCTGTCGTTCAGTCATATCAATCATTTGCAGTATAAAGTCGAAATCTTTTTCGCTTTCAGTGATCATTTCGTACTTCAAGGGAGGTTGGGGGACCTACCGAACTTGCAAAAATCGGGATTTTTTTTTTTTCGAATTTTTTTTGCAAAGTTCAAACTTTTCTGTTTTGATTAGTGGCTCCTTACCGAAATGTGAGTTGGGCGATTATCCCACCCACCCCTCCCCACCTATGTTGTTGCTATTTCTCGCCTTACCGTTTCTGTTTGAATCCGGGTACCCCCTGCGGCGGCATTGGTGAGTTGCCACGTCAGCAGGACACGTCAGCAGGCCACGTTAGCAGGACACATCAGCAGAGCCACGTCAGCAGCAAGGGATACCTTATCAGCAGGCCCCGACCAGTCTATGCTGTTGAGATCTCAAACAACAGTCATGGACCAGAGGCCCGGAGAAGCGGACGAGGCCTATCAGGCCCGCATGCTGGCCTGGAGTGCGGAGACTAAGAAACGGGCAGATAACGCTGCAGCAGCAGCGAAGAAGAAGGCGGAAGATGCAGAGCAGGCACGTCTGCTGGCACTTGAACAACAACACCAGCATGACGAGGCAGCAGCAAGGGCTGCCGATGAAGAAAGAATACAGCGTCGTGAGAAGATATTCACTGGAGAGGGGGCGTTACTTACCATGGCAGCGGCATGGCGGACCGAGGCCGAGGATGGCAAGTTGGAGGACAGCGCCAACAAGATAGCACTCCTCCTCTCGCATCTCACGGATCTCCTAGCCACCTGCATTACACAGCAGGCGGAGATCCTTGGCCTCGACCCCTCGCTAGCTCATCTCCAAGACCGCTTTCAGCGGTTGGAGCAGCGACCAGTCGCCGCCGCAGACGCAGGCTCTTCCAACACTACCGACCGCCTCAATGCATTGGAGATGGACGTCGGCGCACTGAAGGATGACATACAATCGCAGCAGACCGCGACACAGCAATTGCAACAGCGGATCTGCACTACCGCCACCACTTCGAGTACAGAACCGCGCGTGACCACTCCAAAGTTCGACGGGCAGGAGATCTTCTGCGACTCAACGAAGACAGATCCTATTCCATGGTTTCGCAAGTTCGAGCTCACGCTGCAGTTGTCCAACGTCAAGGAACACAAGCACCACGCCTACTTGTACTCTCGCTCAGGGGGCGCGTGCCAGGCCTGGTTGGACAACCTCCTGTCCAAGTACGGAGTGGTAGCTGCGGACTTGCACACCGTGATCAGTTGGGATGATCTGAAGGCGGCGTGCCACAAGCGGTTCCAGGTGGAGCCGCCAGAGATCAAAGCCATGGACAAGCTCATGGTCTTTGAGCAAGGCACGCTGCCGAGTACGGACTGGATC